TCATTATTTTACTGCCCAGCTTTATCAAAAATACAGACACTTTTCTTACAGTCTCACCTAATTCTAGTATTTGCAACAAGAGCTCTGCGTCAGAGAACCAAAGATGTGAAGCCAATAAAACAGTGCACTGGGCTCATCTGCTCTAAACATCTTCAGAGAAAGACGGCGACATGTTATCCATAGTTTTATACACATTTATACATAGTTCTCACAACCTACACTAGTGCATTGTCCACAGTTGTGTTGTGATGTTGTCCACTGATGCATTAATTACAGCACAGTTATCGTTGATTGCTGCCCACTTCACAGTGTTTCAGTTCACAAATGAATGAAACTAGTGACTGTGGATCTAAAACAACACTACAAAGATAGAGTAGAAGCTCAAAGTAGGACAGGAAATGAGGAGAAGTGTCTCTTGATTGGAGAGAAGGAGTTTTATTGGTTGTGCTTCTGCTCTTATTAGGGAAAGTTGATGTCTGGGAGTCAAGTTTTCTTTCCGTATGTTGAACTTGGATGTCAAAGTGTTGCTGAAGACCAGAAGCTGGCCCCTAAATCTGAGAAATATGAGTATAAGCTGTAAAGATGCAGACAGGTGTGGCCAGATCTGGAGTCAGCCTGTGGGCCAGGTTTGGAAATGATGGCACTGTTTATCAAGATGACATTCCACAACTGGCCCAGTTGTGCTTTGGCTAATGTGGTGCTGGGCTACGCATCAAARACCTCTGGAAAACCACATCTCGGCCACCAAAGGGCCGTCATTCTTTGCGGTATCTGGGCCAAGTGTTGGTGCATTGCGTGGGCCCGAACTGGGTCAGAGAATTTTTGCTATGTGGGTGTGGACCCCAACTGTTTGATTGATCTGTAAGTTTGGAAAAAATGTTGTTTTGTTGGAAACTTTAAGAAGTGCAGAACGCACAGTATTTCTCTTTTTGGTCTCACTTTGCTTAACAGTACCTGTCAAARTCATTATGTTGCATTATTATTCAAAGTCTGGTCCAGAAGAGAGAGGACTACTTTAGATGACAAGCTTGTCTATTTCTGTAGTGATCAAGATTTAGCAACATGTTTTGACCCAGAATCCCTGTCCTGCTTCTGCATCTTTTTTTAAAAAAAAAAATCTTTCTGAACAAAGTCATCTGGGCATCGTTTTTCACCATCTGTGCTTCACGCCCTCTGGCGACTTCACGCTTTCCGAAGCGGTTAAGTGCTGCTTTTCTTCTTCTCTTGCCACTCTTTTCACTTTTTGTTCCTCAGACTCGTCGTCTCCTTTAAGGCTCTTCTTCCCCTGACCTCTCGGAGGAGGCGGCGGCGGGCCCACCCTCTGGCTCGGTTGGGCAACACGACACGCTACAACCACAGACCCAAAATAGTCCCAGAAGGAGGAAACACACTGGAGCTGCTCAACAAGTCATCGCATCTGCAGCACGCGTGACAACCCAACGAGCCGTGCTCTCTTCTTTCAAATCGTGAAGGCCGAAGCAGAAGGCCGAGAAAAACTCACAAAGCACATTTATTGCTTTTTGATTTGAACGTGTAGGGGCTGTGTGTTTATGTGAAGGTGACTCAAAGACTGTGTTCAGGAGGAGCGTCAGAGAAAAGAGCTGACCTTTACATTGTTCTGCAGCTTCTATAGAAATAAAATGAGGGAGGAGTGAGAAGAGAAAGCAGCGAGTGGCCCAGGAGGACCAGTTAGCCACGTCTCCTAAAGAGCTCCCAAACATGACACGCAGCTCAGCTCAAATGGACCGGATATAAAAACAGGCACAGAAAAATACTGAGTCTGGTTGTTTTCTGTAACTTTAAATGAGCATGTTTTAGTGATTTAAACACTGCTGATTCCAACACCAAGCTTGATTAGGACAGAACACCACAGGAAATCATTCCTGCCAGCAGCCATTAGGCTCTTCAACAAACAGCCCCAATTTTAGCGTTCTACTCTGGATAAATGATAGAGCCTCTTTTAATCCTGTTTGTAWTATATGTCTTTAAACATGTCTTATAGGTCAAATCTCACTGCTTATGTTTTTCTGCACGTATTTCATTCTGCAATTTTTGTGTTATTTCAATCATTCATTTATCAAAAGATCAGTTCCTCCTCCTCATCATGCCTATGAAGTTTGGGTTTTATGAGTATTTATACTTTTGAGAAATGTAGCTTGTTTTGGTCATTTTTTGTTCTTATTGAAAAATAATGGAGCTGTTTTCAACACTCTTAAAATCCCTCAGTATTTTCAGCACATGCCTTTTGTTCTGCTTTTTATAACTTCTTTGTGCTAATTTTAGCTTCCTTCAGATTCTTTTATGACAATAAACTTTTTTCTGTTTTTTAGCTATCTTTCTGTTCTTTTCAGCTATTCTAATTATTTTTTGTGCTTTTTTTCTTCCAATTTAGGCATTTTATGCTTCTTTTAGCAATTTTCTGCGATTTAAGCTACTTTTTGGCTATTTTCAGCTAACGTTAGCCTTTTCAGGTAAGCTTTCATTTTTGCGATCATTTTAGCTACTTCTTTCAGATGCATAATTCGGCAAACGGGCTCTTTCTGCTTCTGTTTTTACATACTTTTCTGCTAATTTCAGCTTTTTTGACTGTTTTACAACAAATTGCAAAATCTTTGTTCATCTTTTTTTTTTTTACAAAAATATTTCAACATTAGGCAATTCAACCTGCATTGTCTCATAAAAGGTAAAATATCTAGAAGMATTCTGTCCTCTTGTAATATAAATAAGAAAAACATTTGTATGTTTATCCACTCCTCCAGGTCTTCTGTGCTGCGCTCAGCTGAAAAAAACTTATTGCATCTTTAAACTGGGAGATGGTGGTCTTTATGATCCAAGAGGGGTGTAAAAAGCATCACAGAAAATAAAATAAGAACAACAATTTCACAAATTATCTCTTAGCGCTTAGATTAATATAAAACCTGGAAACGACAAAACAAAAGCCAGAAAAAACACTTTTATCTTCAAAAACAAAACTTTTAAAGCTCACTAAATGCAACTAGCATTCCTTGAATGAAGGCATATCCCTTGCAGATATGATGAAAACTGAAAACAAACTTTTGCGTGATTACTCAAAGTATGTGACAGAGATGACTCAACTACCACACCAGATTTTACCTCACTAGCCACCATCAGGYTGACTCTTAAAGGGGCAATATCATGTCAAATCAACTTTTTTGAGTTTAATATCATGTTATAATGTTATACTCTCATAAAAAAACATGTCTAAAGCCTTGCTTTGACTCATTCATGTATGTTTGAGAAATCCTGCAGTGTTTTTAGGAAGCCATGCTGAGGAGCAAAACGACAGGTGGGGACCAGAAAGGCCCCTGGGACGTGTCTTTAAGCCGGGCTTCCTCATGGCAGAGCGCCCCCCCCCACACACACACACCTCCCCACACACCCCGCCCATGACTCCTGCAGGCTCTCGGGTGAAAGTGAAACTTAAACTGTCTGTTGAGCTCTCAACACTACTAGTTTTATATTTGATCAATTTGTTAGCATTACAGTGTGTACATGCCTTAAAGAGGCTTCTGGTTGATTTTTTAAATCCATTGGCAATGTAGATGTCTCAAAAACTTTCAGTTGGCATGAGTTGTCTACAACATTATAGTGTGACAGAGCCGTTAGCAAAAGGCAGGCGTTCTGTGAAAGAGTTCAAACTGATCTAAAACAGAGGGCCTACTTAAAGAAAAAGTTGTGATTGTGACTTTTATCATTGTTACATTTTATATTAACATTCCCATTTTGAAGGTAGCGTTTTTATTTATTTTTTTTCTTTTATTATTTGAATGTATTTCATAATTTTTGGATCAACTAATTAAGGATCGTACTGTTGGAATTATTTATTTTATTTTATTTTTATACTATTTAGGTGGAGGCTTTATATGAGCCCACTCTTCCTGCACTGTTATTCTTTGTTCTATTTGAATTTTGATTTATATTTTTATTGTGCAAATACCACCAAGCTAAACATTTGCTTCAGAGCCACACAAACATTATTTTATGTTTGTGTGGTGGTTGTGTGCTTCGTTACTCATCAAGCTGTTCTAACATCTAACTTCCTTTAAAGCCGTACCGTATTTCTTCTTTATTCTGACTGTTTTCTGTGATTGAACAAAAGTTTTGCTCAGTCGTCTCAACAGCAACCAGATTAAAATGCAAAGAAATGTTACCTCAGTTCATAATATTAACGTTTGCTTTTTAAGCACTGAATTATTCAAACAAATGGGTTTTACATCATCTGTGGTGGGATTTCTGAGGGAAACACTGTATATATTTGCACAACACAACATATCGGACAGGTTTAAGGTAGTTCTAACATGCAGAACGAGAGCCGGGGGGGGCTGCAGATACGTTCTGATGAGCGGTGAAGATGTAGAGCAGCTGAGCGACAAGACGACACGATGAAAGGGGGACACGAGGCGAGCGGCAGCCGGAGTCACACTGACAACATCGGCACATCGTGACGAGCACGGAGCCTCCGCTGAGCGAAGCAGACACACTCGGATGCAGTTCGCACACACACTCAGGGTGGGATTAAACATCACAGGCGTGAAATGATGSTGGATTCTGTTCAGAGGCTAATGAATATTTCATAAAGCGGGGATGGGCGGATTATTCCCAATATATCAATACCTGATGGTGTACTTCTGAGCATCAAACAAAATGATGCTCAGAAGTTATTTTCGCCCGTTTCTTTTTTTTTTTTTTACTCTGCAAGGTTGACATTTCCAATTATAGCTGCCTCATTAAATCTTTACAGTGATCTCTAAATTCCTACAGTAACGGGAAGCTGCTTTTACGCTTCCCTTTTTTCATTTTTAATAAAATTCAAATTATCTCTAATGAGTTATGAATAAACAACTTCTCTTTCAGCATTTAATGGATTTATTTTCCTGCTGAGTGCAGATTTGAAGGAAAGCTGCTCTGATTGGAAGCTGGTGGTTTCAGCCATCCCTGTCACGCAGAGCCACAACACAGAGACGCCGGTGTGTTTGTACCTCTGACGGTGTAGCGGATACATTTTACAGCTCGCAGACAACTCCTCTGCAGCAGAACCAGAAAGAAGAAGGTCAAGGTTAGAAAGCAAACAGCAAACACACTCAAGTTTGTCCTCTTTTAAATACAAATCCAAAAGTTTTTTTTTCCCACAGAAACTAGTTGAGCGAAACCTATTTGAGTTGTATTTAGGTCAGATGTGCTTAAAATTGTTAAAATCCTAAAGCAAGAAAGCAATCATAACTTTGCTTTGATGTCTTTAGGATAAAAAAAAATTGGAACAGTAAGAACAGAAATTCAATAAACACAAAGATGAATGCTTTTATTCTGTTCAAAGAAAGTGAGTTTCATAAATTAAAGTCCTTAAAGGAAACAAATCATGCTTTTAAATTATTTTTCACATTAAATCATTCAGTTGGGGTCTAAATAAAGTGGAACTGCAATACTTTAGTCTGAATTCCTCCTTATCGTAACTCCACAAGCCCCTCTTTCACCCCTTTTCTGTGGTGTGTCTCGGATCAACTCGTTTTAAGGCTGTTTCTTTAAATCCAAACAAGGAGCTTCACACCCCGCCTCCCTCCAGCTTCCAGAGCYGCCCATTCTAGTTTGCTAAAGGGGGTTTATAATGATATAGCAGCGCAGAAACTTTTTATTTACATATTAATTAAGATGTCAACAAGGGAAGACTCCATCCAGTCTCACATGTTGGATCCAGAGTCTGGCTCAGATCCAGAGGAGAATGAAGACCACKTAGTTGTAGTTGGTAAGTCCAGACCAGCGTCAGAAACTTGGGTGTCACTTTTAAAACAAAACATGAAAAAACTGACTGGAAACTGCCACTTCCATCTTAGGAACATCTCAACATTGAAAAGTTTCTTGTCAAAAATTGAGCTTTAAAATAATCGTTCACGTTTTTATTTCCTCTCGTTTGGACCATCATTCACACGTTCAAACAGGAAGGAGCTGGGCCGGCCTCAGGTTGTCCAGAACTCGTCTGAACAAACGAGCTCACGTCACATCTGTCTTATCGTCTCTTCACTGCCTCCCACTTCCTTTTAGAAGGAAGTTTAGAATTCTGATTTGAACTTTCCCAGCCTTAATTGAACATGCTCCTTCTGACATCACTGGTTTAGTACGTTAGATTGGTAAATCTAATGTACTAAACCTGATGGTAAAATAAAAATTTTACCAACAGGCTTTTATTTGTTAGAAATGTTAATATGTGTATTCTACCCTGTTTAACTTGTATTTTCTGTTTTTATATGTATCCTATGTGGTGTTAAAAGGCATTTTGGTGTCTGTTCTTACATTTCTCTTGTTTTTATTGTGACACATTTTGTGATTTTAGATCTATGAAAGGTGCCTTTATAAATAAGCTTTACTTTCAAATGGAGCAATATTTTCCATATAACCTACTGAACAGCATGAGTGACGAACACTTGATTTGTTTAAGAATGGAAAGTACAGTAGCTCTAAATGAAGCTCATTTTCCTCCTCTGGTTAAGTGAGAAAATGAAGAGCAGGCTGTTGAGTCGGTTCCTGTCTTGAATCCCGGCTCGGAGATTAAATGAAGCTTTTCTATAGATTTTCTCTTTTGCAGAGATCCAGGCGACTGATCCTGATGAAAGTGTAAAATTAACACCTGGTTAAAGCTCTCAGAGTAAATACATCAAAGTCAGTCCATCAGATTTGATGTTTCACGCTGAGCTTCCTACATGTTCAGTCGACCGATACCCACTGAATTAATAAAGTCTGGTTTTAGATTTTTTTTTTTTTTTTTTTTTTTGGGTGGGGGGGTTGCCTCTGCTCCACACAGACTGTGGTCAGGACTAAAATTATTCAAACTCAAAGTTATCAGCAAACAGGGTAATGGCCAATCTTTGAAGATGCTTTTTTTAAATTTGAAACATCCATCCATCCATCCATTTTCTTCCGCCTATCCGGGGTCG